GTTGGTTAAATATAGTTCAAATGGAATGGATCCAAGGGCGGATCTGGCGCGGCTGCGGCTGTCTTCGTTACAGAGCCAGCGACTCGGCTCGTTTAGGTCGGCTTGGAAGGTACTTAGGCCCTCAGCGCTCTTCCACGACAGGAGTTTGCGAATCCTGGCGATATGTTGCGGGCAGTGGTGCTGGACCGCGAGGACAACGCGTTCCCGTGCCTCAAGAACGTCAATATTAAATTTAGCATCTTCAATGGTGGATAAACCCTGCACCGTTTCCGAAAACAAGAACTGTTGAATGGTGTTCCCATGTGAACGCGACAAATCCAATTCAAGATCTGTTATCAAGACTGCTAATGTTTCATCGTCTTCTCTTGCTCTCCTTTGGGCTTCTTTCAGTATGCTTATCACCTCTTCGTGGATCGGTACCTTCTCAGGGTTCTCACTCACGCGTATTGATACCATCACTCTCTGAAATTGTTCACTGCTTGCTCTCTCGTATGCTCTTTTCCGCACCACGCTCACCTCAGCCTCGCGAATCATATATTCAAGTGCGAGCAGAACTTTTTGTATTTCAACCTTTAGCTTCTTTCTCTCTCTTTCGGTAGTGAGCTCCGACATGGTGAGGGCATCTGCGTTTGTTCCAGGTGCGCTGTGCGCCTGGACGTCACGGATGCCGTTGCGCAGCAACTCGAGGATGTCTTCCGGGGCCAGCTGTTCAAAGTACAGTGCGAAGCGACTGGACAGGTTGGGTGACGTCCAAGAGTTCTTCATCTTCTCTCCCGCCACAAACAGTCCTCCCCGGAACGCCAGCCAGCCACACGCCTCCCACTTCTCGTCGGTCAGTTCCAGGGCAGCGGTGGCGGCTTCGAGGGACCCTAGAATCTCTTTGAGGGAATGCCAGTCCCTCAGTAAGGTGAAGTCGTCGAGGAGGTCTGTGAGGCGGTGGTCATGAGCAGGTTTCTGAGTAGCTGCCACTTTGGTTGTCTCTTCAACCCAGCCGACCCTTTCTCCTTTCGGAGCTTTCTTTAGGTCCTTGGGCTCTCCTTCCCTCCCTATCTGCTCTACCTTATCGAGGAAAAACTTCAGATGCTCTCTCACCCTATCGGCGCTGGCCACGAAGAAGGCCAGTGTATGATATACTGTGCTCGCCTCGACGTACAGCACGAGGAGGTACTCCATCTCCTCCCACGGTACTTTGCCGTACGTGCTCAGCAGCTCGTACTTCACGGCGCGGATCGCCAGGACCGATCGCATGGCCAGCATCACGGCCTCGTCCGCCTCCTCAGCCGCCGCGTCGAGTAGGCCCTGCAGGCGCTTCGCGTCGACAACGAGCTGGTCCACCTGGTCCCACAGCGGCTTGACCTCTGGTACCGGCGGCGATCCATCTGTACTGTCACGTGACAGCTCGTAGCGCAACTGCACCAAGGTGTCGACTACCGCATACCGGGTGTCCAGGGGAGACCGGCCGCCTCCCACCGCTTCCGCTCTTGCACTCGGCGCCCACAAGCCAGTGCGTAGGCAACCCTTCGAGATGCCGCGTATTCTCCCGGACACCCAGTCCACCTCGTCCCCGCACAGTGGAAGGCAGAGCGCTTTGGCCTTGCACCAGGCCGCCGTCAGACTGTCCTCAAACTGCTGCTTGTCCCTCATACTCTCTCTGATGCTATTCAGCAGATCCAGATTATCCTGTCGTATCGTCTCCAGCAGCGCTCCGGTCAGCTCCTCGGGGCTCGTGCTCCTGTCCAGGTAAGTGGTTCGGCTTGAGCTCTGACGACGTTTTACTTTCAGCAGCAGCAGCTTCTTTTTCACGCTCTGGAGATCCCTCCCGCGAGCCTCGCGGTGCTCCTTGATCCTGCCGACAGAGACC